CTTCAAGGTATTCCGCCCACCGCACACAACGTCACGAGTTGAGGTCAGCAGTACACCATCCCCACCATGTGTTGGTGTTGGTGCTGCACTGCTTCCCCCTCCTGAGACGCCGCATGGTGGACCAGAATCGCCTCGAAGCCGTGCGGAAGTCTTTCTCCATGGCCTCTCCAAACTCCTCCCACGCCCGGGTTTTTGCCTCAGCGACCACCCGAGCCGCATGCCGCTTCGCCTGCCGGTACCCATCAGCTGCTTCTGGAGTCCCGTAGGCCAGAAAGGCCCGATAGGACCTGACCAACCCCATTCTACCAATATGGCTGCCCAGGGCAAGAAATTTCTCAGTAATAAACATTTTATTTCACCTAAATCAGTTGCACACATAGAAAAGTATAACTTGCGTACCTCGAAGAACATATTGTTATTGTGTACATAATGCAGAGAAACACATTTTGCTAAAGAGTTTGAAAATGTTTCATTTTATTCTTATTTTTACCAATATACTTGGTGGATGATTTGTACTCCTATCGATGTGCCAGTCTGTGTAGTGATAAAACTTTTATTTTATTGCTGAAACCAAGTTAAAAAAAAACAAGAGGAACCACCCGTTTACTAGATTTAAATGACACTGAGGTTCTAAAGACGGTTTTGGTGCTGCTCGTTTAAGTCTTGTTAAGTGTAATTTATGTGCCAAAGACTTGGAGAGTCCACATCATAACAAAGCAAAAGGGAACCACCAAGAATTCAGCACAATAAAGACCAAAGAGCTCTCCAAAAAATGACACAGACCAAGTTGGGTTATAAAAACATTAAAAAAATACTATATTTATTCTACACTTTCACGACTCAACAACAAACCTGCCAAGAAACAGCTGAGCAACAAAACTCTTGAACCACGCAATAGAGGCATTAATCAAAACGCTAACAAGGAAGCTAGCCTGACTGAGCTGCAAAGAAATGACTAAAAGTTTCCAAAGGATACATTTAAATGCTCCATAATGTTGGGTTTTGAGTAAAATTGTCTAAAATCAGCCTTCTTTAAACCATCTTCATGTTACCGAATAAAGAAAATGAACACAAGCTTCTTATAGACTCCAAAAATGGAAGATGGTAGTCAAGTCACACAGGACTTAACCTCATTTAAACTTTTACCAGTACTTTGGAGACACAACCCTACATTTGACAAGTTTACACAGGAGGATAAGGTGTCTCAGTCTTTTTGTGGTTTAAAGCCAAAGCAACGTTTAGGGCAAAGCTATTCACTTGACTTCAGTCTGGCTTGCCACTAAGTTCAATAAAAAATATATATGTACATAGTTATATAT